ATGCAGATGGAAGAAAAGGAAAAGAGATTTATGTAGAACACAAGACAGAAGCATTCCTCAAAACTATTAACATTAAAATGTCATTTGCAAATTGTTTAAAATAAGACCAATATACATGTGCAGTGAATTTGCATCTGTAAGTACAATGTTTGTTGTAAAACAATAAAGTCCTTATTCTGTAACAATTATCATGACCATATGGCATTAGAGGACAGATACATTTCAGCCTGCGTGTAGATCAGATTTCAGTTTGATGTTTATCTCTCAGAGCTTCTTTTTAATCTCCAGAGAATGCTGAAGGCTGCAGGGGAGGACACGTTTGGCATAGCGATCATGTTTCATTAAAATTGGAGATTCAAATTCTGAAAATCCCAGTTGTCAATAGCATGTTCCTTCAATCAGTAATTTTAAACTGTGATGTCTTATTTATGAAATGTTAAGTAATTAGATGAAAGGCAATGAATAACAAAAGCAGAAAATGTTCTTTTAAAGTTGAGGATTGATAATCCTAAAACTATTGACATAATCCCTCAAGAACAGGCTGTTTTCATTTCCTTTAACTTCTTTAGATTCACATTTTCATCTTCTTCACACACACACACACACACACACACACACACACACACACACGCACATCCTTTAAAGGATAAGAAATTGTGTGTGGAGCCATTGTTGTCATTCAAAAGTTTTTATATTTTTAGTTACATATAATTTCCATATAATGTGTTTACTCAGAAATAAGAAGTTCTAGTTCCTGATGAAAATTATAATCAAATATGAGCAGAAAAGTACAAAATTGCCTGCACACTCCTCATTTATTTTGAATATTTGAAACAAGTGTGCTGCTTCACTTTCAAATTCCTTTATAAATCTAATTTTAGAAACTATTAACTTTGAGATGATTTTAAATGGTGGGTTGAGACACAGATATAAGGAAAAGACTGAATTGCTATGTCCTCTATTGAGCACTTGACATTGACTCCTTGATTAAACCTATAAGGACTAATAAAATACCTCCTAGTACTTCAAACTTGATTGAGTTCTTTGCCATAAAAGAATAATAGCTTTCTCCATAGCTTTGAAGAACAGCTGTCTCTGTGTTCATTCTATATCTGTGAATCTTCAATGTAAGTTTCAATCTTTAAGGAATATAAAATTATTGAATAAAAAGAACTTGGCCTGTATAAATATTTTAAAGAGTAAGATAGTATAATTTGAATTTCTCTTAGGAGACACAGGAATAGATAGATATTAGACATCTAAAATGTCAATCCTCTCAGGTGCATTCCAAATTCTTCATAGTAATATTATGGTCTCAGTAAACCATGTATCTTATATGGCCAACATCATGCATAGCAAATTAAACACAATAAATTCTTACTAAATTTTATATTATGTAACATAGGATATTTGAGACTTAAATTATTCGAATATCGTGCTTATTGTCTCTGTATAATATATAACTTAGATGTTTAAATGGTTTTTCTTAAACTTGCCAAATTTTCTTCACATGAATGTGTTTAAATATTTCATTTCAGATAATACCTTTTGTGAATCTCCATGCATGTTTGCTCTAACTGTATAACAGTACAATAATCCAAATATTACTAATCAACTACTTAAACTCTTAAAAAGAGACAATATGTAATTTAGGACATTTATAGCTAGTGTAATTCAGCATCAGATTATTCCATGGTGTGTTTAATGACTTTGTACATTTCAAAACTATATGTAAAAATATGTAGAAAAAATTCTTGCATGAAATTCTGATTAAAATAATAAATAAAGTAAATACTTCAGTAATCGTGTCAAAATTTCCATTGTGATCTCCCAAGAAGCTGGATTAAATAGTCTGTGATCTTTGAGGTTAAGGTCATCATCTTCATGAAAAAGAATGCAAATTCTAAAAGTGTCTTTAAAAAAAATCCTCTGCTCAGTTCTTCAAGCATTTACTCCTTTATTTTCTTTAAATGTTTTCTATGAGTCTGAGTATGTTGGTACAGGTGACACAGAGGGATAAGTAAGTCACATTTGGGCTTTGTCCTTCACCCCACATGCACATATACATCTTGTTGGTGATTTTTCCTGCCCACCTGGACTGATTTCTCACAGTCCTGTGCACAAGACTGACAATGTGGATGAATGATGCCTCTCTCTACTCATTATCCTCTGGCCAGGAGACACCAGTGGTTTCACGGAAGACACATGAAAATTATGCTGAACTAACAGAGAAATAGCCTGCTTTGACATGCAAATATCAGTTCTACAGAACAAGGTAGAATGAAATCTCAAGGCTGTTTGTCTGCCTTGTTGGTGTGGATTGGTTATCAAACACATTGTGTACTGGTCTATGTAGAGAATCAGTGCACATGTGTTGAGTATATACTGCTTTGCATATAGACTATTCCAACTTATGTAACCCTCACCTCTGTTTAAGAATATATAATATGGGTGTCTGCTTCAGCTTCCACCAGTTGTGCAGAGGGAGGAGTGATGAGCAAAGGGGTCAAGAACAGGCTGAGGAAACCCACAGAAACAGCTGACCTGAACAAGGGGGAGCTCATGGTACCCAACTGACAGCTAGGAAACCAGCATAGGACTCAACCAGGCCCCCTGAATGTGGGTGTCAGGAGGCCTGGGCTTCTAGTAGTGCATCAGTATTTATCCCTAGTGTACAGATGGACTTTGGGAGTCCATTCCCCTTAGAGGGATATCTCTCAGCCTTGACACATAAGGGAGGGCATAGGCCATGCCCCAAATAATGTGACAGAATTTGAAGATCCCCCTATGGAAGTCCTCACCCTCCCTGGGGAGCAGAAGCATGATGGGATGGGAGAATGTTGGTGGGTAGTATGGGAGGGAGAAGGAACTGGGATTGATATTTAAAAATATAGAGAAAAAGAAAAGAATATATAATATGGGAATACAAGGAATTCAAGTGACTCTCATAGAACAATGAAAAAATACTTCTTCTATGAGACTCATTTCTTTCTTGGTATCCAATTTAGAATGAGTGGTAGAGACATAATTGATGGCTGAGGTTTCTGTTCTGCCCAGTCCTGCAGCTGGTTAGTCCCAAATAAACACTCAGAAATTTCTATTAATTATAAACTGTTTGGTCAGTGGCTCAGGCTTCTTACTGGCCAGCTCTTTCTTAATTATTAGCCCATTTCTATTAATCTGTGTATCTCCATGAGCTCTTGGATTGTCCTGTGATTTCCAAAACTTTTGCTTTCTCAGAAGCTACATGGCATCTGTCTGGCGCCTCCTCTCTATACTCCTCTCCCAGCTTTCCCTGGCCTGGTAGCCCTACCTATACTTCCTGCCTGGCTAATGGCCAGTCAGCATTTATTCATCAACCAATGAGATAAATATATAATTCACAGCATACAAGAGTACATCCCTCTTCATGTAATGAACTTTATTTTTAAATTTTATCTTCTAACCTTCTTTATCCTCACTTCTGACTGTTTGGACAGCAAAGGAAACTGATCATTAATTTGATGTTCATATACTAAAATACCACAAGGAATCTTAGTTCATTTCAGCTGTCTAATTAACAAAGCCTAGGATCATCTAAAGGAGCTCTTGCTCTGATATCTCTTGATGATAGCTTTTGGCCTGAAAATATGAATGAAATAAAATCATTGCTTTCCCATTCATATTAGTCAAAATGGCTTTTCAAATCGACAGGAAGGAAAACTAGAATACAAGGCTATTCATTCCCTTTGCAAATTTCACTTGTACAAATTTTTAACATAAAAATCATAATACTCTTTTGTAGACAGACAAAACAAAGTTGGCCAATTCTTTGAAAGAAAATAAGTTATTTTGAATTGACTAACTGATCCTAACACCTGTCTTATCTTAAACATGTAACTGGCGTGTTCATATTTCTATAAAAATAGAATGATAAGAGTGAAAAGGACAAAGATGTCAAAGGATTACAGAATGAAGATCAATTATGATATTTATGCAACACTACTGAAAATGTTAGCCAATAAATCCAATTTGTTATCCAGTATGTTCTTTAGGATATTTCTATATGTAAAAGTAAAGTACAGTCAGAATCACTCAACAATATGCATTTCAAGGTTAGTAATGGACAAACTACAACTATAAATGACAATGTTAGGCATGAGATACACTTATTAAACATGGAAGATGAGAGAAACAAGGAGTCTATATTATAACAATAAAAGAAAACTGAGACAAGATGCCAGGAGGTCAGCAAAGTCTACCTTTACTCACTTACAAAATCACTCACTCTTGTATACCCTACATTCAATGATAGTCCATGCTGTTTCTAACTCTATATTATAGACTTGGTTAAAAAATGCTCATAACACCTAGTGACAGAGAGGGAGGACTGATGAGCAAAGGGAGAGGGACCTGCGATTGACATGTGAAGCAATCTTGTTTCTAATTTAAATTCAAATTTAAAAATAAAAATAAATAAATAAGATAAATTTCAACCCCCAATGTATATCAAGTAAAAAAATAATTCAACTGATCATTATCTAAACATAAACATGAAGAATACACATCATGAGTGGGGCATCAGGAACTGGAAAAAATGCTCATAACTTCAAAAACAATGAAGACATTATGCACTTCACAAAGGCCAAAATGCTATAAAACAAACAAATGAAAAAGTAGATATGATATGTTTCACAAAGAAATAATGGTTTAACATTTGAATGTTAAATGTTTAAAACATTTGAATAAAGGTTCAACTTGTCTGTGTAACTATATTTGCTTTTTGGTTATACTCCATTCTGTCAGCACCTTCTGATTAACTGACAATGATATTTCAGGATAAGATTGCATCAGATCTCTGATATGTATTTCAGAGATCAGTCCAGGGTCTTTGTGAATTATAATTTGTTGACTTTTTCTGATTCTAATGTCTTCAACAGTACAGTAACTCTCTCATATCTAACAACTGTCTGTCAGCAAATTGTTAGGATAATTAATTAGAAAGGAAGACTACAACTTACCGATTCTACCTCAAAAACAAGAGTTCAAGATGTTTTCTTTGATTGCTTCTTATCATTTGCTTCTTATTCCACTCTCCATCAGTCTTCCTTCCTTTTGATTTCCTTCTTTACAATACTGAGACATACAGAAGACAGCATTTACAGCACAGAGTATTCAGTCAGATACCACATAGATTTAATGTGATTATGATTCTGGAGACAAACATGAACACAGAATAGCACAGAGATTCTGTCATTGTGTCATATGTGGCTACAGATGGAAAGCAGCCTGAACAAACACTAGGTACTGACAGAGAGGTGGAAGAAATTTGGGGGTAACAGGAAACCTAGCAACTGGCCAATGCTGGAGAACCCTAGAAATTACTTGAGGGATCTTAGCCTGCCTGAGACCTCTTTGTGCTTAACTGATATTCTCACTAACCATCAGAAGAGTTTACACATTATTATCATTATTATTATTATCATTATTATTATTATGAATGTGGCATTACCTTCGACCTGATCTGTAATTTAAAGAAGCAACATGGAATTCAGTAGATACTCTCAAATGCTAGAGAATTTAAAACCAAGGAGTAGTATTATTTAAAATGTGTCTAGCTTAAATCTCATTCGCTCCTCTTTGCTTAAAGAGAAAAACAAAACATTACAAACATGGAACAAACACAAAAACCAATCTTGGCCATTTAATGGCATGATCAGCAGCAACTGGATAAAAAGTAGCTTTTTCTTGTAATTTGTTCACATTTCCTACAGTTCTTCCTGCAAGTGACTGCGGTGGCCCCAATGCTTTTGGATAGCGAAGCCACGCAAGGTGGTCTGCTGCATTTTTAACACTAGAGGTGGACCTCCATGTCCAGGCGTTTGAGTCCTTTCCAGAGCCACCAAGACTGCAGAACAGAAGGTTTCAACTTTCACCTTCAGGACCACTTCCTCCTCCTTGGCTCAATCAGCAGGAAGGGGAAGTCTGTGTGGGTATGTGGTGCTTTCCCTCAGATTAATGTGTTTCTGGCTGCTGACAAAATTGAGAAAAATAAATAAATAAAAGAAGAGCATCAAGGGTAAAATATACAGTTTTATTGCAAGGATCACCAATAAAGGGAATGAATTTTTAAAAGCAACCAGCAAGACACCAACCCCCCCCACACACACACACCCCGTGAGCTTCAGAAGTCACCTCTTCCTTACATAAAACATTCATCACCTTACCTCTGAGAATGATTTCTGACGGTGACCCGGATATGAAAATTAGGAACCAGCCAGAAAGCATTTCCTCTTCTGTATGGTGCCAGCCACCCCCTCTGCGTCTTTTCATTTATCCTGGCAATGGTTTGTCCCTTTGCTTTTAAAAGTTAAGTCCACCTTCATCGCACATTGTAGAAAGAAGTGAAATTAAACTGCAGAGTGTTCCAGAGGAGAAAATCTACTTTATTCATCTCTCAGCCCTACTTTAACTTACACTGACCTAATTACAGCCCACACCAGGCGAGGCCAAGTTGGCGGAAGGAGCGTTTCTGCCACCTAGTGGACATTTCTCTGAACTCTGCACTGAGACTTCACCTTTTTTTTTTTCTTCCTCTTTTATTTTTGAAAATGAAGTGCAAATGACCTTCTCTGATACCTGCATGAATACTAAGGATCAGTATCCCACGTTGCTCCGCTCCTTGGGAAAGTCCAGAGTGTAATATTCATCTTAAGAACTCCATCTGGAGAAAGTTGAATTAATGGCTCCTAGGATGAACTATCACTGGAGAAGCATTTTATTAAGACTGCATTATGAGACATTTCATGAAGATGAAATTGAAAATCATAATGTAAATATTAATGCCACTTAAAGCAACATTTAATATAGTATGTGTTGGATTGAATACTTAAAGGTCTGACAACCCCTCCTAACTAAATCAATCGCCCTCCCTCTTAGCAACCACACAATTTTGCCAGCTGAATGATTTCTTCTGTGAAGCTCCAGGCTTGTTTGTTTGTTCCTGGGAGTGGGAGTGGACATTTAAGAATGCTTCGTTCTCTTTTTCTGGCTTCATTAACGAGTTATTGATTAGTAACTTGAAAGAAAAACTTGGATGAAAAATGGAGCCAGCCTGAGTCACCAATGCTAATGAAGACCAAGCAAGAAAAGGAAAATAAAAGGGGCTCCTGTCCCCAAACAGCAGGGGAGCCAGACTCTTCCTCCACCAATGCATGAGGCAGCCATGGCTTTCCTATCTGTCTCATCTAGCAAGGAAGCCAAATCTTGCAAAAACCTCCCATGCATAAAGCAAAGGCAATCACTTGGTGCCGGGGGCAGTTAATTCTGGGATTATGAAAGCAGACACTAAGAACCACAAACACACATATTGCAACACAGCATTCAAAGTGACAACATCATTTATAGTACTTTAATGTATTGTGGCTACCTTTAATGCCATGAGTATGGATTAGTATATTATCAAATCTGAAAATGATGAGAAATACTTCATTATTATTCATAGAGGCTCCTTAAATCCCTACTGGTTATGAGACCTTGTTTAGACCCTGCTTATACGAGAAGGTAAGTACGACTACATACTTGAAAAAAAATACATCATAAAAACTCACAACACAGGGCTAGAAAGGTGGCGCCCTGGTTAAGACCACTTGCTGCTCCTTTAGAGGACCAGAGTTCGGTTGCTAGCACACACATTTGGCAGCTCACACCTGACTATAATGCAAGCTCCAGGAGATTCGTTGGCCTCTTCTGGCTTCCTACATACATGTGACATACATAAACACAGGCAGACGTGCATACACGTGAATAAAATGAAACTGTTACAAATAATAAAATAAGTTATCTTTTATTGTATTCAAAATAATATGTTTGTTTACTCATCATTACTTGGAGAGTAAAGCTTAAGTTCCCTGACAGTAAGCACCAGGTTTGTATAACAAGAGAAGGCTAGCATGGCTGAGCTCAATTTGACCTTTTTTGTCTCTCACCAACCTGCAACTCAGAATAAGACAAAGTGAGTATGTGCTTCAGTGTGCAAAACAAAGCCTATCATCGTGTCCTCTAGTTCCCCATTCAGACTGTCTTTGTTCAAACTGTCTCAGGTTGTTTCGCTGGCTTCCTACTAGGTCAACCTATTTCCATTGTGCATCTGTTTTAAACAGATTCATTCCTTCCACTGTTGTCAAGGACATGAAGTCATCTCAAACTCTTCCAAACCCATCTTACCTTACATTTATCTCTCCAGCACCCAGATTGTTTCTGATTTTTTACATCTAAGTCAATCCTTTAGAGAAGCTTTGCCATTTTTTGTAAAGACTCACATAGTAAATTTGGTTTTAATGTTTTATATGGATCACAATTGTATGGCAAAACAGAAGAGAGGTAGGGAGAGGTATGGGGATATGGGAACTTGAGGAAGCAGGTTGGGGAGTCTGGGCATGGAAGATCATTTTGGTGGCAGGGCTGACAGGAAGAGCAAAGAAACATCTTGATGAGGAGGGAAAATTTCAGTATTAGGGAGAAACCTGGTGCCAGGGAAACTCCCTGAAACCACAAGGATGTCCCTACCTAAGGCCCCCAGCAACAGGGGAGAGGATGCCTGAACTGGTTATCTACTGTAATCAAATTGATGACTACCCTAATTGTCATCAAGAGTCTTCATCCAGTAACTAATGGGAAGCAGATACAGAGATTCACATGTTCATGTTATTCTTGAGAAAAATATAATAGAATTATTGTACACAGTAGTTAAGAGAAATGTAAACTGCAAAGAAAGAAAATGTACTTGATATATAAGCCTTGTTTGGTACTTTTTCTTTTTCCTTTTCATTCTCTACTTTAACAAAACACAAGACCAACAGAGCAAGGTATATTTTGTAGTAATTTCCTCCAAAAGAAACGTCCTATCCTATAGGAGAATTTTTAAAATGTAGGACTTAAATAAAACACACTAGACTCAGGAAAAAGTGATGTATACACCCCAGGAAGTTCCTGAAACTTGCAGGACTAAGGAGTTCTCTTCTAGTGCCATATAACTTGGCTAAAGAGAAAACTCCACCAACAAAACATCCTAGAGGTTGTTCAAGGAGATTCAGAGATACAATTTCAGTGATGAAACTGCCTTTGAGGCAATTTTGCTGTTGTTGTTGTTTTTTGAGACAAGTTTTCTCTGTGGCTTTGGAGACTGTCCTGGATCTAGCTTTTGTAGACCAGGCTCATCTTGAACTCACATAGATATGCCTGTCTCTGCCTCCTGAGTGCTGGGATTAAAGACATGCACCACCACTGCAGTTTGAGTCAATTCACTTTTTTAAAGATTTATTTATTTATTACATATACACAAGATTGAATTGTAGATGGTTGTGAGCCACCATGTGGTTGCTGGGAATTGAACTCAAAACCACTGTAAGAGCAGTCAGTGTTCTTAACCACTGAGCCATCTCTCCAGCCCCAATTATAAATAACTCCTGATTCATATGTAAGCCCAGTAAACTAATTGACTCTTTAAACCAGATTTTGGTGAAATTAATTCTTCAGTCTCCTGGCAGTGCTGTATCTAGACATGTGTTCAGGTGTCACCATGAAAAGTCTCACAATAATGTCTTTATTTACATTTCTACTTTTGTGTGTGCAGTGCACATGTGTGTTTGTGTGTGTGTGTGTGTGTATGTTGTGTATGTGGGACACGAATTAAGAGCAATTCTACACTTTGTGTCAGTGAATATTTCATTCCAATAACTTTTGCTTAATATGCATTATATTTTTGAGTATTTTAATGTAATTCTATCGGGATAAGAAGATAACAAGTATCCAGCAAAACTGCATAGGAGAACCTGGAATGTGTTGAGGGGATTTATTGCATGTTTCAATGGTTAACTTCATTGCAATTTGAAGAAATTATATTATTGCCACTGTTGACACCTTAGGAAGTATACTATATTTATACAGCACTCACTGTATGGACAGTGACATTTTACTGCATCTGTGTTACAGACGATAAGAAGTATATCAGTTGAGAATGAACTGAGAAGAAAATGGGAGGAAAGGCTAGATATGTCAGAGAAGACAATGGGATATTCTTTAATACAAAAAGGTTGTTAAAAGTGTAGAAGTATTAGATTTTTATGCATAATCAATTTGAGTATTCAGGAGAAATTACAATAGGTGATATTATAATATCCTGATAAACCAAGATCATGTGAGCTATTACATTGAGAACTGATGTTTTATGGGCAAAAATTTGGAAGTTACTGAGGAAAGCAGTTTGACCTGAGATTGCAATATGAAAAGCAGCTTCATTATTCCTATAATTTGATAATTGATCAGTATTTCCTGGAGTAACATATGTACAAAGGAAAAAGCCACGAGTCAAAACGTATATAAATATGAAGTGTTTTTATCTTAAACTTGGAGAAATAATTGAACATGGCACACAGCTAAAACCCTACTTACTAGTCAAAGATACTAAGGTCATAGGACTTTTAGTATGAGGCTAACCTGCACTGTGCAGAGAGATTTCTAAAACTTGGTACGTTTGGTCACTATTAACAGTAAAACTAAAAGACAGATGATAGGTAATTTGGAGGGAAGAATTTCTTTACAGATATAGAAGCTGAAAAATGTCTGTATGAAAAGTAATAAAGGAGAAGGATAAGCAGTTGCATGTCTGGGCATAAAAGAATTTGTAGTTTTTCTGAAAGCAACTGGAATTTTACACCATCATATTTAATTCAGTCACCAAAAGGTAGAATATAGAACAACATACAAAGACAACATCAATACTGAGGAAATTCATCACTAAGATCTTAAGGGAAATATTCAAAAAGGAAGAAAATTGTGGACTAAAAGAAAGTTGAAACTGAGAGTATTGTTATGAATTAACGCTAAAAGTTATTACATGGAGAGGCAATCAACAGTAATTCTTTTTTGCTTTTTTTTTTTTGGTTTTTTACGAGACAGGGTTTCTCTGTATTGTTTTGGAGGCTATCAGTCCACCCCGGCCTCGAACTCACAGAGATCTGCCTGCCTCTGCCTCCCGAGTGCTGGGATTAAAGGCATGCGCCACCACTGCCCGGCCAGTAATTCTTCTTAATGAGTATAAACACTGGTCATTACATTTATTAATGGAGAGATCATTAACGACTTCTATAGAGAATTTGGAAAAATTTTACTGAAATGGTTTCAAGAAAGAACTAGATGAGAATAAAGAATATATGTGTGCATGCATGTATGTGTGTAATATATAAAATTACAGTAGTATTGAGCAGTCTTCTTGTTTGTGTTTATGTATTTGCAAACATTTATCGAATCAGTAATGAGCCATGAACCTCAAGACAAAGCTAAACTAATTCTTGAGGTTTTTTTTCCTTTTTTAAAGTATAAGAAGGGGTCTATTCTGAGAACTATGAAGAAAAGAATAATGGCTGAATATAAAATAGAAAGCAAATTAACTGACTCTAAAATATATAAACTGCTTCTATCTAAGTA